GTGATACCACACAACAGAGAACTTGTCAACCTCGTATTATCACTGTTAATGGAACAGAAGCTAAAGTAAGTTAACTGAACCACACAACAGAACTTGTCAACAATACTGATCAGTTAACTTACTTTAGCTTCTGTTCCATTAACAGCGATGTCCCATAAGAGAAGTTTATTATCCACAAGAGACACTAGTTGATTTCCTTCACAAGGATGCCAAATAACACTGGAATTAGACATCATCATAACCTTAGGATCACATAAAAAACAGCTCCAGTAAGAATCTTCACTTAAGCTGACAAACTGGGGTATTTTGAGTATGGTAAAACATATAAATAAAATAAATATCCAGCTACCAAATGAAACTCTCAGAATTTAGTTAGTACATAATGAAAATGAATGTAAAAATTACATTTTTGACAATAAAATTAGGAAAAGTTTGATTGGGATTTTAAAGCACAAGAATTTCTATATTTTACCTTTTTAACAATAAAAACATCCATATTGTTACGACAGCAGAAGTCACGTGACACTGGGAGCATGCGTGCTGGATTTTCTAGAAGAATCATGAATTATCAAGGAACCATGCAAATGTTCGAGTGTTTACCAGACACTCTCTTTTTTTGTATATAAGCCTGGCGAGAAAAACCAGCATGAGGGAAGTAATATAAATAGATATGCAGATAGATTGAAGAGATAGATAATTGAGTCAAGCAAACAGTAGGCACCGTAAGTAAAGTGTCTGAATCACTGTTACTTATAGCATGTGTTATAAAGCTTGTTAAGTTTAAAGTGACTGTAGAAATTCTGTGTATTACAAAGTTGTATCGAGAAAGAATAAACTAGTTTTAATTAAGAAAGGACTTGTATCGTTGAAGTTCCTTGGAAAGAATTTATACCAGAAATTAACAAACAAGTAGATACGCAACAATATGTAGAAAAGAAAAACAAAAAAAATGCCATAAGAACATTATATAAAACAATATTTTTCTCACAGAAAACTTGTTGGTAAACTCAAAAACACTGAGTATACATCAAAAGAAAATATTTCATGTTTTTCAACAAAGAAAGAAGTATGGTTAACCATCAACAGACTTTTTTACAAATTAATACATTTACATGTGGATTTACCTTTTGACCTCTGACCCATGATGACTAGAATCAAGAGTAGTTAGCAGCAACAAATTACCCAAGTTTTACTACTGTGGTTGCAGTTTGACCTAGTTGAACTTGAATTTTTTTAAGCCTAATTTATATTTATATTCTCTGTTCCTAAATGTAAAGTGATTTAGAGCAAAGTATTTATGGATTCTAATCTGTTAAAAACGTTTGTTTATGAAGGAAATTCATTTATATTTAGCTCCTCAGGGTAAGTGTGAGATGAACAGTGCCCTCTGGGAAATTCCTAAAACATCCGGAGAACATCTAGTGAATGATGAGAGTTCTTCTTATTCTCCTCTCATAAAAAAAAACTGAATATATGGTTCCAATAATATCTATATGAAACTGTCTTATCAAACTGTCAAAAGCTGGTCTCACAAAAAATAAATAAATAATACAAATATTACTGAATATAGCAATATGTAACAATAACACTGGAAAAATAAAACTAACAAATTTGTGAAATCATAACAACAAACCCAAAAATATTTTGTCAATAAACCTCAATAAATTATAACGATACGCCTAAGCATGGTTCCAATAAACTGGAAACACTGTGCCAACATACATGGCCAAATAAACACCAATGAAAATGTTTACAAAACATTAATAAATGCTCATCGTATCAATAAAACTAGACAAATAGTACTGACAAACCTAGAAAAAGATAACAATAAACCTGAATACACATGGGTTCTATCAATAAACCTGAACAAACAGTGTTAACAAACCTAGAAAAGGATAACAATAAACCTTAATGTGTGTGCATGGTATCAATAAACCTGGACAAACAGTACTAACAAACCTAGAAAAGGATAACAATAAACCTGAATACGTATGGGTTGTATCACTAAATCTGAACAAATAGTACTAACAAAACTATAAAAGGATAATAATAAACCTGAATACCCAGCATCAATAAGTGACAAGTAGGAAACTAAATCAAGATGTTTACCGAAAAATAAAAACAGATAAATCTTAACAATAAACTTGGTAACTTGCAACAGGAAGGTTAAGAAACTTTTACTAAGTAAAGAGAAATACATCAAATATACAGGATGTTTGTTTGTTGTCAAGTGTAAAGTTACACAATGGGCTATCTGTGCTTTGCCCATCTTCGATTTGGAAGCCCTATTTTTAGCATTAAGAGACTCGGACTTACTGCTGAGCCATTCTGGGGAATACATGATTTTACAATATGACAAATGATAATGTAAACTCACACACTTATTAATAAATGAAAATAATAAACAGGAACTCGGGGTAACAATAAATCGGGTCGAGCGCAGCCTAGCGTTATCATGTCATATTAAGGATATATGGTTTGTGGTATGCGTCTGCTCCAAAAATCACATTCCTGACTTCGGAGTTATGGGTACATTATAAAAGAGATCTTCAAATCCTAATACCCAATTAGATTATCCCTCCAGCTGGAACTGGATAGTGTTTATTAGATGCCATTGCTCTTAAATCATTTTAAAA